TTGCTCGGTATATAAGAGATTAAAATGACACTAATGATTTCAAACTTCAGATATGTTCTCAATGAACATATGTCGCTCCATGCTTTATTGCATATTCTTTCCTTTAAAGGGAGAGGTGGTAGGTAGTCTATGCTAACTAGATCTTATATGCCTGTGCCTCAGAACTTCATGATAAACAACAATGGAAAGGCAGGCATTACATTTCCTAGTGACAGAGAAACAGATCTAAAAATAACCACATCTTGACTAAAAATAAACTCTTGCAAATGCAGTTAAAAAGTCCAGCCCCTTGGAAACCAAATTCAGGGTTTAATCCATCTGATCATGCTTTAATTTAGAACAGAGTAATTCCTCTTAATTAATTGATAGTGATACCCTATAACAGAAAAACAGAAAAATAAAATAAAAAAGACAAAATAAGATACAAAGACTTTTCTCTCCTTTGCTCTGAAGTGTGTGGTTCCATTTCTTAAAGAATGAATATTTCTTCTCTTTTCATATTATAGAAAAATAAAAATTGCTAAGAAATCAGTTAAAAATCAGACAAATACAGAATGAGTAGTAGTGAATAGGGAAAAAAAAAAAAAGAAAAAAAGAATGAGTAGTAATGAATAGGGAAAAAAAAAAAAAGAAAGAACCAAGAGCAAAATCAATAATTTAATAAGTCCTATGCATAAAGAGTTCCCAGTAAGAATTATTTGGCTGTCCTCACCAAAATAAAATACTATTGGTACTGCTCTTACTGTTTACATGAGTCCCTAATTTCAATTATCTGCAAATAATCAAATGTGGTTAAAACATAATGCTCTTTCCATAAACTTCTCTTTTTAAATTTTTTAGAAGTATTTATAGTTCCTTATCTATAGTTTAAAATATTTCACTCCTGACTTAAGTGTTTAGAAATTGCTATTAAGTAACTACAGATTTACTGGGCATATAAGAGAAAATAATAAAGAACTATACTGTAGAAATACTTTCTAAAGCTATAAAAGCTATTCTGAAATATTAGAGTTACTTTCCTAAACACAGGCTCTCAAGTCCATCAGATGTATGATTCTCTGAATCTACTATAGAGACCAGAGTGACAAATTTAAAACGGATCATTTAATTACAAAGGGATGCTTCCTCTTTAAATTCATTTAAAGTAGGCAGTTTCCAGGAATTCAGTTTATTTAAGAAACCAAATGTAGAGGTTGATTTAACAAATATTTAGACGTTGTAGGCTTTTCAAGAAAAGTCCTCATTTTCTCATTTCTTATTAAACTACTTTCCAAACAACTACAAATTAATTTTCTGGCTCGCTATGTTTGAGCTATTCTTTTTAAGTAAGGAAGGCCAACTTTTTGGGCTCTGTCACTTCCCTGACAGTTTTATTTGTGGTAAAAGAGTGTATGAAATTCTCCAGCTACCAGAAGTCAGGGACTATACATAGATCTGCACAATGGTGTTTGCATTCCTACTCCAGGGGGTAGAAATACTGTATATATTACTCTCCCTTTTTCAGCTTCTTAGAGATCATTAATCACTGAGACATGACATCCTCTAGCTCATGCTCCCAGCCCCCTCCTGATATGCAGATTCAAAACCAAGGCCTATTCAGAGCCGCTTAATGTCCTGATTAAAGCCTTGCTTGCTTTTTGCGGGGGTGGGGGTGGGGATCTAAAATCTAGTCCTCTATCAATCATAAAATGACATCCAAAGAGCATGATAATAGCATGTGGCTCTACAGTTGCTAGGTAAGGAGTCTTCTTGGTCAAATGGATCTGCTTTGTATTTGGGGTTCACATATCTTTTTTCAAGGCTGGAAAGTCTATTTAAACAAACCTTAAGCTTTCCAAAAGATTTTCCTCTCCCATTCCTATGTATTAAAATTTAAAATAATTTTTTTCTTGGGACCAGCAGATGGCATAATGGTTACATTGCTGGACTCACATGTAGTTAACCATGGTTCGAGTCCCGGACCCAGTGGCTTCAAACTCACACTGGGAGAATGTGTGCATATCCAAAATCCTGAGAGAAGACTGGAAGAGAAGGAAGTGAGGCGTGGTCATTCCCTCTGGGGATTTTTCTTGCTTTCTGTCTCTCTGTCAGTCTCTGTGTCTCTGGTGAGTGCATGCACCCTATAGCAAAAAAAATCTCTCAAAAAATAATAATAATAGATGCAGGCAGGTGGCATGGTGGTTAAGGGCGCTGGACTTGTACATGGCCGACTGTGGTTTGAGTCCTGGACCTGGTGGCTTGCTTTCTTACTTTCTCTTGCTCTCACTCTGTCCCCCTCTGGTCAAATTAAATCAATGAATAAAGTTAGATAAAATAATTCTTTAAAAAACTAATAATTTTTCTTTTGTGGTAGAGACCTTAAGACTTATACGAGAGAGAGAGAGCAAGAGAGAGAGAGAACATGTTCCTCCAATGGGTCCTGGACATGCTGCATTCATTTTTCCACTAATTTTTCATCAAGATTCTGGAAACATGCATGTACACCCAGTGTTTTTCAAGCAGCCATGTGCAATCTGGCTTCCTAGGTATGCTAAATCACTGTGCTAAGGGGCTAGCCCTCTCCTTCGCAACTTTTTTTTTTAGTTTTTCTGTTTGTTTTGCTTTGTTTTGTTTTCTTACCATAGGGTGTGCATGCTCAGCTGAGAGACAGAAAAGGGAAAGTAAGAAATCATCCCCAAGGAGGATGGCCATGCCACAATCCTTTCTCTTCCATTCTCCTCCTGGGATTTTGGGTATGTATGCATACGCCCCCACTGTGATTTTCAAGCTGCCAGGTCTGGGGCTTGAACCACAGTCAACCATGTGGGATTCTAGCACCTTAAACATCACATTACCTGGCCCCCCATTAGCAACTTTTAAGCACACAGTATTGCCAACTATAGGTTCTAAGTTGTACAGTAGATTTCTATAACTTATCTTATATAACTGAAACTGCCTTTTGACAGATAATTCCTTATTTCCCCTTCCCATTAGCCTCTGGCAACCGCTATTCTACTACCTGTTTCTCCGAGTTTCACTGTTTTAGATTCTCCATAAAAATGAGAACAAGCAGTACTTGTTATTCGTGTCTGCTTTATTTCACTTATCACAACGTCCTCCACATCCACCCATGCTATTACAAATGGCAGAATTTCTTTCTTTTATAAGGCTGAATGACATTCCGTCATGTATGTGTGCACATATGTGTGTATATGTATATATGTAGACACATACAGATAAGAGGACTTCAAAAGTTTCACAGAAAATGGAATTAAAGTACGGATTTATTTTGGTGCAAAACAATTTTGAAACCTATGCACACAGGCACATACACACCCCTTTTTAAAAAATACATTATTTGGGAACCAGCAGTTAGCGTAATGGCTGTGTCGCTGGACTTCCACGTAGTCGACCGCGGTTCGCATCCCGGACCCAGTGGCTTAAAACTCACGCCGGGCGCGTGTGCGTGCGTGCCCAAGATCCCGAGAGGAGAATGGAGGAGAAGAGATTGCAGCGTGACCATCCCCCCGGGGGGTGATTTCTTGCTCTCTGTCTCTATGTCTCTCTGTCTGGTGAGTGCACACGCCCTATAGCGAAAACCTCTCCAAAAAATAAAAATAATAATAAATATATTATTTCATTGATTTAGATTGTTTCTATACCTTAGCTGTTATGAATAGAGATGTAATGAACATGGGAATGCAAGTTACTCTTTGACATAATTATTTTATTTCCTTCACATATATACCCACATGTGGAATTGTCGGATCAAATGGTAATTCTATTTAAAAATTTTAAGAAACCTCGGGACCAGCAGTTAGCGTAATGGCTATGTCGCTGGACTGCCACGTAGTTGACCACGGTTCGCGTCCCGGACCTGGTGGCTGAGGAGAATGGAGGAGAAGGGATTGTGGTGTGGCCATCCCCCCTGGGGGGGTGATTTCTCACTTTCTGTCTCTCTGTCTCTCTGTCTGTCTGGCGAGCACATGTGCCCTATAGCAAAAACCTCTAAAAAAAAAAATTAAGAAACCTCCATCTATTTTCTATAATGGTTGTACTAATTTACATTCCCACCAACAGTGTAGTAAAGTTTCCTTTTCTCCAAAACCTCATCAGTACTTGTTATCTTTAAAAAAAAAAAAAAATCTAGAATGGGCGTGTAGTCATCGGAGACAGAGAGAGGGAAAGTAAGAATGGTCATGCTGCAATCCCTTCTCCACTATTTCTCCCTCTTTTGGGGATTGTGGGCAAGCACCTACATGTACTTAAGAGTGTTTTTCAAG